AATCTCCAAGTTCAAACGAAAAAACAGGAAAAATTGCAATAGATATATCAAAATAAATCTTTTAATAAGGTGCGGGTAGTTCATCAAGGAAGCTGGAGTAAATCGCGACAAGGATTGATTTTTGAAAAGAGGGGAGAAAGCTTCGTATCCGAGACTGCGTCGTTGGGCTCGAGTCATAATTATCGGCTACCGAGTTCATCAGCGCCTCGTTCTTTTATTTAGGGCGAATTCTGCCCAATGAGCGGCTACGACGTTTAGCATAGAACTCAAATCGTTGCAAAATTATATCGATCCGCTTAACTTATAACATAAAATTAAAGGCTGGTAGAGAAAATATCTAAACTCGCTAAATCATAAATGCTATCCGTAGTCATGCTTTATTCCGATCCCGAACTAAAATAAGAAAAATTATGTGACAACATAAATTATGGAGTAATGATAATTTAAATTGTGTTAAGGTAAGATTAGGAATTTAATAAGTAATATTGGTTCAGTTCTCTAAATGGGGATTTTAGTCATTGCGCAAAAAATTACATAATTGCTTATCCATCATTTCTTTGAACCCTTTCTGACACTTCCGTCATTGAAGATTATAATTGACGCTGGGATCAAATGTAAATTTCATAATATCAGTAAAAAATATGCTAGACCTGAATCTCCCACATACCCGTATAAAACTCGGTCTGCAATTTAACAGTCTCACAATATTGTGGGAACATTATTCTGCCCATGCACACAATATGTTCTGTCATAACATAACATAACATAACATAGTGATCTCGGCGCTGAAGTGTAGGCCTGATGTGGCCTGTCGTAGATTCTTTTCCTATTCGTGCCTTGTTCACAGAAGATCTAAAATCATGTCATTTGACCGGATCTTTTCATGGCTGGCGATAGTTTGAACTACTCGACTTCCACCGGGTTCGATATGGTGCTCCGTGCTAGGCATTTCAAATCTAGACGCATATTTTTCCATAGCTTTATCTAGTCTGTTCTTGAACGCGTTCATTCTTGCTACATTCTCATGTCGATGATTCGAATCGAGAAGAAATGTTGTCGCGTGGAGAAGTTGCAGCGCAGTTTTTTTATTTCATAGCCGCGGCCCTGGTGTTGGTTCTTGTTACAAATTCTAGTAATCCTTCGGAGACCTTGTATAGACCTTGAGTATACTTGTATACTTCAATGAGGTCCCCACGCAGACGTCGATAACTGAGGCTTGGAAGCTTCATAATCTTCAATNTTGAATTTTGCCTTCATTTGTTTTTGCCATACTTATATTGCAAAACGGACCGAAACTCACAGTGATCAAGGAATTTCTGCCAAACTACTGAACATATTCGAGCGAAATTTTGAATTCACAGACCTAACTACCGAACGGTAATGTTTAGCTCATGAAAATTTTTTCGATTGTGCCTTCGCTGTTCGCGATTTTTTTTCATTTCACCTTCATTCTTAATTTAAACAGCAATACGTGCTTGAATTCGCAGTAATCAAGAAATTTCTTCAAAACTACCGAACAGATTTGAACGAAACTTAGTTTTTAAATACCTAACCTCAGCAACGGCGATGTTTAGCTCGTTATAATTTCTTCGTTTTGACTTCGTTGCGAGTTATACGGCTATACGTAAACGGCTCTTTTTTAAACCGGCCGGTAGAAAAGCCGGTCGTTCCTCCTATATCTGCATAACTTGCGAACGAAAGCGAATAAGGAAGTGTGAAATCAAGAATGAAGGTGAAATGAAAAAATCTCGCAAACGAAGGTAAAATCAATTTTTTTTTATAATCTAAAAAACCCCATTGGTAGTTAGGAATGTATATTCCAAATTTCGTTCAAATCTGTTCGGTAGTTAGGAAGAAATTCTTTGATCACTGCGAATTTCGGCCTGTATCGCAATATATAACTCACGCATGAAGGTGATATTTTAAAAATTTTCGCATGCTAAACATCACCTTTAAGTTCTGATGAATACATGTTTCAAGTTTCACTGAGCTGCGTTCATTAGTTTGGGAGATATTACTTGGTAATTGAATTTGGAGATTGGTCGTGAGACCGGCCACGAGTCTGGGCCGTAAATTTGCCCGAGACGTCCTGGGTTTCTAGTGCTGAAACAGTTAAAACAGCTGAAAAAACATATTGGTTCACTAAAAGGGGTTTTATTTGTGAAATACACATTTATGTTAAACCTTTATCTTTTAAAATTGCAGCGTACTAAATTTTATAGAAAAAGACGCATGATTTTATTTGTGTCTGTGGGGGGCGCTAGAAATTCATTAGGGAGCCAAAGGGGACGCCAGCCTAAAAAAGTTTGGGAACCACTGATTTAGAGCTACCAGGCGCTTGAGAACCTCTTCTTCGTGTATTTCAAAACCTGTTAACTTCGAGCCGACTGGGCGCTCCTCAATATCTGGAATACTGTTCAAGTCCTCATCTGTGAATACACTGCTGAAGAACTGATTAAGAACGTTTACCTTGCCCTCATCAGAGGAAATCTTTCGTTGGTCTACTTTCAAATCAGATATACCGTTCTTTGTCTTACACTTCGAACTAGCGTACAAAAAGAAGGCTTTCGGATTCTTTTTTGCATTTTTAGCAATATTCTTTTCGAAGTTTTTCACTGCAGTGCGACAAACTTTTTTAGCTTGATTTCGAGCTACTGCATACAGGCTACAATCAGAATCGCTGTGAGTTCGTAAATAACGCTTGTAGAAATCAAGAGGTCTTGTTCTTGGTCTTTAGCTGAGCCTTAACTGCACTGTTCATCCACTAGGACTTTTTGACTCCTCCAAGCGTAATCTTATAGGTACACATGTATCAACTGCTGACATAACCGTGTCTTTGAGAAACGACCATGAATCAGTCACATTCATGTCCTTAATACAGTCCGAAATATTCGCCGCATTCATCGCTTCATGGAGTTTATCATAGCCGCCTTTTGCAAAGTTCAAACGTTCACGCTTCCGAGGCGTTTTTTCTGCACAACACTTAATGCTGAAAAACAATGATTGGTGGTGGCTTTTGCCCAACGGAGCCTCAAGGCGAAGCTCATCCATCATTAATTCTTCACTACTAAACACAAGATCTAGAATATTTGGGGTCTGTTTACCCCTAAAATGGGTTGGCTTGGTGATGTTCTGGATTAAAAATGAGTCTCGTACAGACTCCAAGAACAGGGATGCTGGGTGATTCTCATCTCTTGGAGAAGATTCATC